AGGATTGGAACTATATTCAATCCTTGCATTTACCTTGATAAATCCTAAAATTTTTAGCACATTCCCAGAATAAGATCTCAATTTAAGATCGCTTTCCATCATTGACATAGATGAAAAGTTTTTTAAATCTGCCTCAGATATGACAGAATAGGCTGATCCGGTGTCAATTTCCATATACATAACCACATCATTGATTTTAAGTGAATTTTTAGTGGTTTCTCGTGGTTTTTCCAATTTTGAAAATATCTTTTGAGATAGTTAAATCAGCTCCGCTCACTCTTCGCTATCAGATGTTTCTCTGTATCAAGATGGTGCGTGACTCCTTGTTTTGCATTTTCATTTCTATGTTTACCGAAACTATGGTTGAACTTCGCGCACACGGCACTGACATGCCCCACTATACCGCACCTGTGACATTTCGATTTCCGAAAGAAACATCGGATATCTTGGTGGTTTGATTTCCCACAATGGCAGCAACAGCTGGAACGTGGCCCATGGTTACGTTGCCCTCTGCCTGAAACTTTGTGAACTGCTACCAACGCCATCGACGAGGACTTTGCTTCCTCCACCATGAGAGAATTTTTCTCTGCGGCCTCCATATTTAAGGCAATCCTTACTGCTTTATGTAATTTAAATCTTTCTCGGTGAAAAGTTGTTGACGAATGCTGTCACTTCGGAGGCCATAGGAATTGGTCAGTTAAGTGGTCTTCCAAACTGTCTCCAATTGGCATGTTTTAGCTAGTTTTTTAAGTGCAGCTGAATATTGCGCTAAAGATTCGCCGGGCTCTTGCTTGCGTAATCTTAATTTGAATCTTTCTGCTCTTTTGGACGGCTCTGGTGAAGATGATTTTAACTAACCTGAAAAATGCCTCGTAAGTAATTTCCTCCGGTTTGTCCGGGTTACACAAATCGATCATCAGCTCGAACATTTCTTCCCCGACGACAGCCAACAGTGTATTTACTTTCAATTCTTCTTTCGATTTTATTAGCAATGAAGTACTGCTCAAATCTGGAAATGTAGGTATTCCAGTTCGACCCACTTAACTTAAACTCCGACATCCGTCCGATCGACATTTTATTGTTCAATTGGCGTACAACTGCGAACGAAAAAAAAATCTCGCACAACTATGTCCGTAAAATATTTAACTTTTCCTCGTCGCCAGTGGGAGTGCGAACCAAACACCATTTACTTCATAACTGGTTTATTTCTAGTCGAGTCGACTTCGACCCACTAGTTGACAAAAAACATACAAACATAAATACGAGTTTATTCCTAAACTCTACAGTGACATTGTCATTTTTGACATGTCGGTTTTTTATGATATTATCTAGGTTCTTCCTACAAGACCTCAACTTGGAACTAGCTGCCGTTCATTTCATGCTCACTCGTAGCAAGCGCGAATGAACTATTTGCACATTAGCCTGCTCAGGCAACAAGTTAATATTTTATCGGTTTTTTGACAATATATAGGTTTTTTACGTATAACATATAATAATTCTGCCTGCCTCTTAAATTGACAGCGTGTACTTGTATGAAGCCAAACAAGAAGCACCTACCCACCCGTTCAGGCTGCGCAACTTTTGCATAGAACGGCAATGTTGATATTTCGAGACGCTGGGAGGCTGTAGTTTTTCTGCTGCCACGTAAGGGCTGTCAGTACTAGGATTGGCGAACCCATCCGTGGATGACGTGTCACTTTTGATTTATTTTTATACTGCAACTAATCTCCAAAAGTTGGACAAAAGCCTAAGAGTTGAAAATGTGATATGAAAGCTGATAATCCGAAGCTTTTTTCCGGCTGCTGATTAGGAATCTGTTAACAGAAGTGCTGTGTTTTCAAACCGGCGCCGGCGGAACCGGTACGTCTGCATAGTCTATATACGTACAACAGCTTTGAAATAAAACTGTTTTCCCAAAAACGTTTATTTCTATTAAAATAAAACTAAAATACATTGTTATAGTTGAATGACTAGAGTTATTCAAAATATTGCTCTTGTGTTATCGCGTAGCGCTCAAAAACAGCAATATTCTATTTCGGATAGTTAATATGATGTCGAAAGTTATTTGATAAAATAATTTTCTAGTGAAGTTCTTGATGGGCCTGGATCTCACGGTACTAACGTTGTGAAATGACACAATAGTACAAAAAACATCCGCTTGAAGTCTTAAACCTCGTTTTGGAAACGTACGAGTACTGTATAGGGAAATAGCGACGCGAACTATTTACATTCAATCTGTACTTTGAACATTGCTGATTTTTGTAAAAAATACTCGAATCCAGAGCTAAAAAAGCTTGGTTATCGGAACTCATAATTCAGATGACATTCACATTTCTATGGCAAATAATAAATTAGAGCCCAGTTTTGCCAATACAAAGGGAAAAAGCATAGCACTACATAGTCTAACAACAAACATCATGTATAGTGTTATGATAGAAAATAGGTTCCTAAAGCTGTAAACAAACGACAGTGAAAAAATTATCGTTCCTCATTCGTCCTGGTTTCAATCCAACAGCAGTTATTTACTAGATTGATTGAATGATCGAAAAATCCACTGTAAATCTGCCGTGTGGAAAGCAAAGTAGTCTAAAAATCTGATATTACCATCTAATATGTTCAACATTTTATTTTCTATTTAGCTTCTTTGCTTTTTGCGTACAACGGTCACAGAAATTATTATGAGTAAAAACACAAAGGTGTAACATTCGTACAGGATGTCCCATTTTAAGCTGTCCTCTTGAACATTTCGGAAACTGCACGTCATAGAGAAAGAATTTCAAAACAAAAATTGTAAATTTTGACCATGACCTTCACTACGATATTCAACATCATTCAAGGTCAAGCAAAAATATTCAATTGGAACACCCATTTATTACACCGCAGTTGGAAAGAAGATGGAATTCGACATCCAAATATAACCTTGATCTTTACCATAACGATCACCTTCAAGGCCATTTCAGGCTCAAATAAAGACATTGAGAACAACTTGCTCTAGAAAAAATGTTCGAAAGCACAGTTGTGCGGTCTTCGGAGGCCGCCCAAAGGTAATCTTGACTATGCTCTTGACTTTGACCATGACCTTGACCATTACCTTGACCCTTACCTTGACCATGACCTTGACCTTGACCATACTATTTGCTTCAAAATCACGTCAAACTTTTCAAAGGAGACCCCCATTTTTGTCAACTGACTTGGAAACTGGCTAGGAAAATGTTACGATCCAGTCTGGTTCTATTCGCCATTGTCCGGCAGAGCAGTCCGTGGGACCTTCGCTCTTGATTAAAGTATCGTAGGTTAGTAGGTCTGTCAGGTCTGGTCGTCCAGATACCAGATGAAGTCAGGGAGAAAGAAAGTCTGGTCTTGACCTCAAAGTCAAGATCAATGTTATTTGTCATACAACTGCTAGATTTTTATGCAAAATGCATTGTGCTGTGGTACACTTTTGCCAGAGACAGTTGTTTTCAATGTCTTTACATGGTCTTGCAATAGCCTTGATGGTCATAGCGATGGTCATAATCATGGTTATATTCTTGGCAATAAAGAGGAGCTCCATTGGAAGATATTCCATTGAAACTTTTGTTTGAAACTTTGTTTTCTAGGTGGAGAGATTAAATTGGGAATCCCTATATGATGTATATATTATCATGTTACTGCATTGTATGTTGGGTCGAACGAGCCAGATCTTCCTGATTTTTCAGACATTAAATGGTATTCAGAACATGTGCGTGAAGGTCAATACGTGTTTCAAATTGTAAAATGTACCAAAATATTTACGTAATTATGGGAGGGAAAGGGATTTACTTACTTTTGCTGACAAGGGGGGGGGGGGAGGTGATTAATATTTGTGAAAATATCTGCTTCGTAATACTTGATAGGGAAATCAATGAATCCTTACCTCAAACTGCACTGAGTACTCTTCAAGTGACCGCTAGCTTCTACTTACCAAATCATGGTTTAATTGGAGAATAATCGTCATTTTTCGTTAGTATAACCGAAAATGCATGTTTGAGGGCCACATTTAACGCAACGAAAGAAGTACCCGTAAAGTTGTAAGTATATTTTGTCAACTGCGATCTGGGGTAAAGTACCCTGGAGTTTGATTCTGCCTGTGCAGTTTGAAAAATGTGACAAAATGATTCCCACGTATCTCCGTATAACGTGTCTAAGGTGCCTTTTTACATCAGGCCTGGTTCTGTATGCATTTAGATGGGAATAGATAACTCCATTGTGGATATGGAAATGAAGGAGGCCTTCTGTTGGTCAAATTTAAATAGGTATTGGAAATCCTGGTGTACAAAAGGGAAGAAGGTAGGAAAATTTTTAACGCTTTCCACTTCGGTATTGGTTATAGAGTCCTTTCAGGGATGCAAAAATATTCTTAAGCGGTGGCGGTAAACTAAATTCTCTAAAACGGGACCGGACTAGGAGCGGTCTTCTGATTTTCTATATTTGCGCAGCTAGAATTGTTTCTACGATACTATTTAAACTAGTTTAATCAGGTACAGTCACACACATACGTCAACCTGATCAGGAGGAGAGCAAAGATGCCCAATATGGAATGCCATTTTGTTTTAGGGATATAAAGACAAGACGAAATGGAAGTGGTAACAGTTCGATGTTCTATGCTATATAATCAGTCAAACATTTTTAGCTAGTCATTAACAGTGAGCGCAAGTAGGTGAGACGTCTAACGATCGCCACTACCAGTGGCTTTCCAAACTGATTTTCATACGCATCCCATACGATGAAGATGGCAGAGAGTCCTTGCGTCTATGCACAAAGATGTCGTACCGGACCACTATCACGGTCCACTGTCAAGCGGTCGAAATGCCAAGTATTCATAGAGAAAACGAGTAATGGCGTTTATACGCATATATGCATGGGTAGACACGGCTGAAATGGACATGTTTGCTGTTCGTCACTCTAACCATGACCAACCGCACCATGGTTGGTCTATCAGGCCAGTGCGAAAAATGAACCTGTCGTATGAGTATGAGATTTGCTGACAAATAAAATTTGTTGACAAATGTAGACGCCCACTGAGGAATCGGGAAGCGAGCTAGACTCGTGACAACATCACATGACAATGCTATGCATAAAACTGTCTCTTTCTGACTTAATTCTTGGATATTGTTGATTGAAATTTTCGCGCGAAACAACCTGCTTCCCTTCTCGACCATTGAGGGGAGGCGATGCGGAGGGAACCCGGACATAATTTGTCATTAACACGCCTCAAATGTGTCGCGATTCGACGTTTTGCGTCACACGAGTGTGAGAGCTGTCATTTTATGTACCAAGGAACTAAGCCAAAAAGCTCGCTTTCTTTCTCTTCTCTTCCCTTTTCTTCACGAATGTGCTTGTGGAGTGTCAGATCCAGCCGTAATTGAAGCCAGTCTAAATCTGATTGTGTATCGGCTCCCATTTGAAACAATATCTCAAAATTGTACCGTATTTAGATAATACCCTCCTGCATCGCGGTGTAGGTAGTGGAGTTGCTTCAAAATCGATATAGTGCCAGTGCTTCCTTTCGCGGCAGGGAACGTTAAAGGGAATAAAATAAATAAAGTGGAATCCCCCGAAGATTTCTACCAGAATGGAGATGTAGGAATTTCCGCGGATTCCGTTATTAATGGGTGTAGGCGAGTCTGGCAAGCTCCAAGGAACAAATTGAGAATTGTTCGGGGCTTTTAATAAGCATTAGCGTTTGTACAGGAAATACGTGATGCGAAAAGCTGTGTTGTCAGTATTCTGGGATCGTCGTCCAAAAGCCAGGACAGCATTTATTTGTTGATGCTCATTTTGCTCGATGTGCCAACAGGCTAGTAGAGATTGCAATAATGGAAAAATTCGAGTTTACGTATGTTCCATTGACACCTATTGTGATACGTAAATCACAAAGCAATGTGTCTCTGACAGTCTTGGATCATAGCCGGGCAATCGTTTCGCGGCTGATGGGGAAAATAGTCTGATTCGAATTTTTTGCATGATCTTATTCAAAAAGACTCCTTT